TTGGGTAATGAAATGTCTGCAAGAAAACAACCACAGTCAGAAAGCACCAAGGATCCCTCTTCATCCTCAAGCTACAAATATTCTCCTTTATCAGCAGAACAATATTAGACATGCATATATTTATATGTGATACTAGACTATTATTAATTTAATGTATGTAACCTTTACCAAGATAAAGGTCTTATTCAAAATATAATGGACAGTAAAGGAAATATAAATCCTATGCAATTCAACTGGATGCAGAAAAAGATTTCCTTCAGGACAATACATTTAATCTTACCATAGAAACAGGTATTGTGCACAACATAAATGTGAACATTCAACCATTTATACTTCAACATTAATACTCACAGGTCAAAATAAATTGGGTTTATGTGTGGCTCAAATAGTAAAAAAAGAAAAAGCTCCGCTGGAAACTTCTGAATCACAAAATGTGCAAACTCCCCATCCTGTAATTCTGAGCATAGTTTAAGGCATAAGATGGAAACAAAAACGTGGAAATCAACATTGGGCCAGCCACCAGCCTTCTGTGATAAACTAAAACCTACCAAATCACGGCTAGGCCTTTATCTTCTTCTTGGGCAAACCAGTCCTGTATGCTGTTACTGACTTTGACATGAGCTGCTCTCCTGCTGTCTGTCTCCATGGGCATCTCTATGCTATTTTCTTGGCATTAGTACCAATGTTCATTTGCTAGGGCCGTCTTCCTGGAGGTTTTTTCAGCTTCCAAATCTAATCTGGGTATTCCCTGCAGGCCTTCCACCAAAATACAAGTAGTCCTCGACTTACGACCACAATTGAGCCCCAAACGTCTGTTGTTAAGTGAGATATTTGTTAAGTGAGTTTTGCCCCATTTTATGACCTTCCTTGCCACAGTTGTAAAATGAATCCCTGCGGCTGATAAGTTCGTAACCTGGCTGTTAAGTAAATCTTGCTCCCCCATTGAGTTTGCTTGAAAGCATCTGAATTTTGATCACATGATCAATGGAAATGCTTTGAAGGTCATAAATGTGAAAAACGGTCATAAGTCACCTTTTTCAGTGCCGTTGTAACTTTGAATGGTCATTAAATGAACTGATGTAAGTCGAGGACTACCTGTACTGATTAGGTACAATCCTGCTGAATCCCCAGAGAAAGTGACCCAGCTCCTGATGCCTGCTAGATGTTCTCTCTCCACAACCAGGGGCTTTTCAAATATGCTGTTATTTCAAAGGCCACTGTGTAAAATCTGATGTGCCACAAATTTTAATGCTTCTATTTAATATTTAGAACTTAGAGTAACTTTATTGTCACTATGAATGTACATGAATCAGCATACATTAAAATGAAATTTCGTTGTATACATCTTTCAAAGGATCACCACCTCCAATATACACTACATAAACATGATAAAATAAATACAAATTTATGCATATATCCACATATATTATATGACACAGAGAAACAACACAGTCGAGTTAAATTTAAATTAGAAATGCAGAAATTACTGGATACTCAACATAATTTTTAAAATATTTATTACCTCTGGCCTTCTTTCAAGTGCTTCTTTAATTATAGGATGCAACTCTTCTATTAATTCCCTGTGTAATAATTACAGATCAGTTTGGTAATACTTTAAAACCAACAGTTGTATTTCTAAATATTAAATACATAAATATTCATATATCAACCTCATGGACTGACTCTCTCTCTCTCACACACACACACGCACGTCCACATGATAATTATTGAAAAGTAAAATTTTAAGTACAGTTCTGGAATTTACTAATAGTATATAACAGGCATCATAATCCCTGTCAACGAACAGCTGAACATATCCAATCTCCCCCCAAAGTGTATGTTTTTATAAGAAATACATAGCAGAAGAATGTTTAACTTTAAAAACTGAGATTCATCCATTGGTGGGATTTTGTGACACACATTGCTTGCCTTTAGTTTTCCAGATCCTTAAGACCCACTTCTTCAAATATCCCTCAGTTATTTTCTTGCCCCATCCAGTTTGGTGTGCAGTCCTTCACATAAAGCCTGGAGCAACCCATTAGGGGGTAGAAATTGGACAGACTTCCTTTATGAAGGTAAATAGATGCTTCTTACTCTAGATTTGGGGCCACGAAAGCAGACATGGTCCCCTAATCAATGATCCCCAACCTTTTTTACGCCGCGGCCCGGTACCGGCATCAGCTGGGTGCCGCCATCTTTTTTTGATGAAAAAGTGCTTCCGGTGACCTCACCGGAAGCACTTTTTCATCAAAAAAAGATGGCGGCGCCCAGCAAGCCAGCGGCCCGGTAAGTCTTGTTCCGCGGACCGGTACCGGTCCGCGGACCGGTGGTTGGGGACCCCTGCCCTAAATGACAAATGTTTGATTTCCTTCTTCTCCAAGCACTGTGACTAGTAATATTTACTAGAAGGGAGGTTAAGATTACCATACAGGAAAAAAACCCCTCAAATTTTCTCCATTTTTATGATGAAAGGGATTGAAAATTATCTATTTTATAAAAGTGGATACTAAAAATATGGTGGCTGTTTTGATAATTGCCAATATTTCTTATCAATGTGAAAAGAAACTCCCACAATGTATAATTCTTGAACAAGATATATCATAACTTGAGAGGCTCAAAAATGAGATAGGATGTGCTGCTAAGCAATATGACTCAGCCACCAGAAAGTTCTGTCAGTTACAGAATTTCCCCATTTACTTTATTATTTGTATTTATTTGCATACTATTTAGCACTAGGCAAAACAAAAAGATTAGTTTCACAAAAGGATGGGATTGTTGTGCTTTTATTTTCTTCCAAGCCAGCAGCAAAAATGGATACTTTAAAAATATTTACCTAAAGGCCCCTGGGCTAGTTCTGCCAAGGCCCAGCACAAGGGATTCTGTAATTTCCATGCTCTCAGAGCGCATCATTGGAACAATGTGCTTAAACAAGGATGAAGGGGATGGAACGCCAATTATCTGGAAACAAAAAATAGCATCCAAATTCACTTAATATCATCGTCAGATTGGTGTTAGGTTGAATAGTAATAATGCTCAAGAAATTAAAGATAGGGAGGAAGAATTATAAAGCATCCCTGCATGTACAAAGATTCTGTGATATACAGGGTTTCACGATATATTTGAATGTTATAAACATATCTGGTATTTCCAATGTTTGCTTTATTTCACTCTTAACATCTTGCTGTATGTTTTTCCTGTTACCATATTAATCAATTAAGCCCAGTGAAGAAATGGTTTTCTTTCCAAAAGCTAAGCATTATTACACATTTATAGATATAAGCCAAAATATGCATGCTGACTTTGTTAGGTTGATTCATATTTTTATTAATAAGTACATGGAATCATGGTGCCATAAAATAGTTCAATAAATATTTCTTCCAAAAATCTTCAGCTTCAAATATTTTTTTTCTTAAATAGCTTTTAAGAGGATTCTGAAACCCAATAATTTATGTAATTTTTTTTTTGCATCCATCTATACTTCTTTTCATAACAGTTTACATTAATGAGATAACATATGTATTTTACTGATTCTAATTGCCTCATGTTTTTAACCAAGTTTTATTGCGGAAAATGACATCATATGAATTTGCTTTTCATTTTCATCCAGTTAAAAAAATCATAAAACTGCTTTTAGTTTACATCTTGGAAAAAAGTTTTTCCTCAGCACATACTCAATTCCATCCATCAAGCGAAGAGAATCCTCATGCTGCACCCCTTTTATGCTTAAACGTAACTGCAAAGGGGATGTCCAGAGTGACTGGTTATTAGGAAGAATGTCAAACTTCCCTCTCCTATTGGTGCAGGGTTTTCATGCACTTAAAATCTAGCCTCAAGGCAAAGGGAGAGAGCTGGAAGAGATTTGGAAGATAATTTCTAATGTGCTGCAATACCTGTTTGCATTGCCTATTGGTATGCAATGATACACACCCAAAATAGTCAAAGTGAAAGAAGAGACTAATTATAGCCTTATTAGGATCCTTCTTGTGTGACTGTTGCATTTCAAATGAATTGCAATGATTGTAACAATAGAAGATTCACTAATTACCCTATCCCTAGCCTTCTCATTATATTAAAAATAAATCTGGGTCTTTGTGACTAACTAGTAGCTGACTTCACAGTTTCATTTATGAAACAAATACAACTTCATCTCTGTACAGGTAGCCATGGATTTATGACTGGTTGTTTAACAACTATTTGAAGTTACCAGGGTCTCAGAAAGAGTGCTTTATAGATCATAAGGCACTTCTTGCCATTATAAAAATACTGTGCATCCCCCATCCCCTACATAATCATATAACCACAACCTGGATGCTTGGCAACCTGTTTGCACTTACAACCGTTTGCCAAGCTCCCTGCGATTGCTATTTGTAATTTTCTGTCAGCTTCTCCAAAATATCAGTGGGGAAGCTGGCAGGATATGTTGCAAGCTGCCTGCTGTGAGGACTCCCCCTTGTCCCTGGAGGCTGGCTGAAAGAGCTGCCTGCCGAGAGGAACTGAACATCTTTGGGTGGGATGGAGAAATGGAGTTCTGAACCTGACCAGTTGAGCTCGGCTTTTTGCAGCCTGGATCTGACATCTTCCTATTATTGGGCGGACAAACAAGAGCTCAGATCTTGATGATTTGAGCTCTGTTTCAGCGCTCCACAGAAACACCTTCCACAGAAGGTGTTCCCTTCCATGTGTGGAGAGATGACACCAGTGATGCCTTTCAATTTTTTTTACCACCGGGTTCGATGGGCGTAGCTTGCGCAGAGGTTTTCTAACTCGCTCTCCTGCAATCCTGCACTCTCCCTGTCGCTTTAGCAGCTGACTAAGTGCAAAGCAGCTGCGCTTCAAAAGCAGGGAAGCCCAGCTGGGAGTCCAGCCCACAGAAGAAATCCAAGTAAACAGGCAGTTCAATAAGGTAAACATGACTTAACACTTTGTTGTTGGCATGTACACTGAGAGCTTCTGCACTGGAGACAAATTCCTTGTGTCTCCAATCACACGTGGCCAATAAAGAATATTCTATTCTATTTTATAATGCTTTTAGCTGTAAACTGTCCAGAATCCCTCTGTCAGTGAGATGGACAGTGCCTAAATTTGAAAAATAAAATAAATAAAATTGTTGGATTTGGCTTTGACTATTTCCTCTGCAAAGACCGGCTTATTGGAGAGCTTGTGTATCCAAACCATAACTCATTCATTTCTAATACAATTTGGAGCGTCACTAATAAAACTGACAGCTAAACTGACAGTCAAATGGAATGAGCTTAAAACCAAAGCCCTGGGGATTCTTTTGTTTTATAAGATAAAATAAATATGACAAAATGAGACTTCAAATAAGAAAAAAAAATCAAGCATTATTTTACAGGGAAATCACCTATAATAAATCATTTCTATGAAGAAAAGTAACAAGGGGGCTTTAAAACATTGTAGCTCTATCTAAGCTTTCCCTACGCTGACAAATACATCTTTTTTGATTTTAAAAAGCTGCGGGAACGACACTGGGTTTCTGAATTTTATTTCTAAAAATTGAACAAGAAAGCAAAACATAACAACTGTTTTAATTCTTCTAACACCTCAACAAGGAGAAAAGAAATCCAAGCTGCTAAAGATGAACAGAAACATAAACTGCTTAATGTACCGGGGTGAACATACTTTTGAATCAATGCCATAGCCACTGTCTGGAGTAGATGCCAGCGTCTCAGGAGGGGAGCACCTGACGGAACCTGTGGATGCAGAAGATGGCGTAGACATTGTGGCACTACAACAAAGAATCAGATAGTTTCTCCAGAGTCCAATGTAGGAATCGCTGCTGATGGCAGTATTTACTTTCTTGGCATTCACAGGGCTGCTGTTAAGAAAAAAAATAATAATGAAAAGTTTGAGGGAGATGTTGCAATGCATCGAATATTTAAGGTTAAAGGAGACTCAACATTTAAGCAAAATACCACAACTGAGGTTTATGTGTATACTACTATAATAATTAGTCTGGCCTAGGAGAATGTTTAAATGAAATCTTCATATTCCTAAAATTTTGTTTCTATTGCAAGGGAACAAAATGGGTGGCTTATCACAGTTTCTCTGACTCCTGTGCAAATTCTAAGTAGTCGCTTAGCGCCCATTTGCACTTATGATAGTGATGGAAAATATCTTTATGGCTAATCATATTTATGACCTTCACAGGTTTGTAAAGCAAAGGAAAGCTAAAGCACCCCTGCTGTTTCACTTAGCGACTGCTTTGCAGTTGCTGGCCCCAATTTTGGTTGCTAAATGATTATCTGCATTATATTCAGTTATGAAGTTAGTAATTTAAGTTAAGCTATGTATACATAAAAACAATATTAAAATATGAATTGATAGCACTGCAAAAAATAATTATGCTCCAGGATTCCACTTTTTTTTTTAAAGCCTATCCTACATTTTTCACTGAATTAAAATATAAGCTATTTGTTTTCAGCCTGTTTTCTCCCTATACATGAAAGTACTTCATTGTATTAAAGGGTGACTTACTTTATGTCAACTTGGGGAGACAACAGTTGGAGCCTGGTATAAGCAAACATCCAAGCATAGCTCACTGCGGTGGGACAGTGCTTTGGGAGATTTTCCTGTTTCATCAAACTGGAAAGGCTAATAATCCAGGGATCCTGACCCTGAGACACATGTGCAAATATCCATATATGTGATGGACTGATGACATCAAATTGGTGGCTGATAGGAGAAGAGCTCCAGTCAATTAATGTTTGTAAATCTATTGAACTGGGACAGTACAATAACATAGTCTGTGTATGGAAACAAAAATAAATTCATTTAGCTCAGCGAAAATGCTTTAAAAATGGTATCTGAAAGCTACGGGCATACATAAACTAAGGCTATTCCCACTGCAAAACGAAAATGGCTTATTTGGAAAAACAAAAATAAAGTACTATATTTGGTACTATATTTGGAAAAAGATGAAAATAAATATTCTTTTTAGGTAAATTCAGTCAGGTCACAGTTTACAGAGCAATGTACAAACTTTTCTTTTCCTCTCCAAACACAAATGCTGCCTCTTGTTAGAATTTACTAAGGCTAGACAACTTAATTTTACACAATTAAGACACTGGTATCATTACATCTCTGATGGTGAGGACATAAACACATGTACAAAATAAGATTATTCTCTTAGAAGTGGGGGGAAAGACGGTAATCTCTGTAGCTGTTTTAAAACAGTTGTTCTTAATGTACAGACACTATAGAATGTTATCAGTGCAAGTATTTCAGTATGTGAATGAATTAGTCCTTCAGAAATAGCCCCATTTTGAAATGGCATGTACATCAATATGGATAGAGGTGTGTGTGTGTGTGTGTGTGTGTATTTGTGTGTTCCTTGGTTGAAGGGATAAGAAAATTTCATCCCTGTGCTGTCAGTCCCTTTTGTCTTAGCTCTTATGTAACCTCTTCTCAATTGTAATTGTCTTTAATGTGCATCGTTTGTTAGGCTTCCCAAAATCATGGTGAGTTGGATTGCATATAAATGTAATGAATAAAATGAAGGCATACATAGTTAGATCCAGCTAGTTCAGAAAGATAGGTAATAACTTACTAAATACAACTTTATTACAATGTTACTTGCTTATCTATGCCAACAAAAATATCAGGGAACACTCCTAAATTGTGAACTTGATCTCTCAAAACTAGTTAAATCCCAATTGCAGAGCCTGGCTTTCTAACAAAGTAATTCTCTGTTTAGATTTGATTTAACTTGCTCATTCCCAAGAGGCATTCACAAG